AAACATCAATAGTTTTTCGAATAATATAGAGAAATAGAAATTAAGGAAATTGAAAATTATATTCATGCTGTTTTTAAAAAAATAATGATGGAATTGTCATATTTTTATAAATTTTTTTAAGAATGGACAATATTCTCTTCTAATTAAGAATGAAAAGAAAACTGATGCATTTTATAATAATTTAAGAACATTTTTATTTCATTTAAGTGAAGTCCTTTCAACCATTTTATTTAAATTTTATAGAAAATAGAATCTCGAGCTTATTCAAATATAATTTTCGAATTTTTTAAACGATTTAAATAACTACCATTGTTTCTGAGATAAAAAAAAATCTAAATTTTTTAAAGTGCAGTTAATTTTTATTGTAAGATAAGTGTCAAATTTTACTTATTGTTAACATTTTGGAAATTCTGTTAAAAGTAATAATACTGATACTTTTACATTATAATACATATATAATGTATTATATATTGTATGTAATATATGTACATATTACATATAATACATATATAATGTACATACACATACATATATAATGTATTATATAATGTATTATATATGTATGTGCATTATACATTAATACACTAATACATTATATATTAATACATGCTGCCTCATGGATAAATAGGTTCTCTTGAATAATATGTAAAAAAAGTCGAAGTGTAATCTTGCTCCAGAAGAATTATAAATATCCTCGTAATGTAAATAAGGACAAAGTATGTATGGATGGTATTATGCAAGGAACAAATTAGCCGAGCAGTGGGCGACGAATTAAGGATAATGCCCAAACGTGATCCTGTATAAATATTTATGAAAGATTTATTCCTTGTATCAAGAACTATGAATACTTTTAGGTATTTATTTTCTTTGGAAAAATCAAATAATTTTTCATTGAGTATTTAGAAACAAGAGAGGAATGTAGACCTACCTCCTAGTGGTGCCTCCTGGGCAACGTTCTACGCGGCTAAGTGGTCTACAGATTTCGGCATGAGCTGTATCTGCTGTCTTAACCGACGTTTCGGTTGGTCTGCGTATCTTTTAATGGAATGCTGGTGGCTTGTCTCAACCAAAAAGAACTTATCAAGGAACGTCTGCATCGCATTAGGACTTTCGACCGATTAAACTGCCCTTTTTGGTGATTTGGCAGAACTAATGAACCGAGCTCATCTCCATCTGTGCTTGGCACTTCATGGCGAATCTGAAATGGCGAGATATTGACAATCTAGAGAACTCTTAAGGCAATGACTTCTGTCAACTTGTTCAATTCTTTTGTGTTTTCTTTTTCTGTTTTTTATTTCGTATTTTCACCATTTTTTATTACCTTGCCATTGGAAATAAAAAGGATGTTTAGCAACAATGCTTAAATGATTTGAAACACTTTAAAATAACGGAAGAATGCAAAAAATTTTTTGCATGCAAAACTTCATTATAAGTTTATGATAATATAGAATGAATTCTTTAGTGTTGTCTTTTCAATATTGTATTTTGCTATTCGTTTGATAGCAAAATGGTAGGTCAGGATGTTTTCTATCTATTAATCAGAATAAAGTTTAATGATCCAGTATAAAATGGAAATTAAGTTTTTGTTGGCTATAGATAGTTTAAATTGTGACAGAGTTCTTTCAATTTTTGCAAGTTGTATATTCTAATAACTGTGACCATTACCCAGAAAAGGCAATAAAGATAATGATTTATGATTAACTACTGATGCATAGTTTCTTTCATAATGAATAAGTTTAGAAAAATTGTCTTACAAGTATAACACTCAGTAGCTGGTTATAGCCAGATATTTTATCTGGAAGGTTTGACCATTATTTTGACACTAATTGTTTGCAAGTAATAAATCTTCTCGAACACTTTATTGTGGTAAAGACATCTTGGGATGAAGTATTTCTTGCATTATTTATTTTGTTTTTGATATGAAAATGTTGTTTCGTATGTCAGAGAATACATAAAGAAACTAAACGTGTATTGGATGTCCAACGTGATTAATACTCTTTGTCATGCTGAGAAAACAATTTGAAACTTTACATACGAGAAGTAATTATAATCTAATTCGCATTTTAACGATGTCCTTAAGCACTTGAGTCATTATTCATTGAGCTTTGAATAACAAAATAACATAAATTATATCCCATTTATTGTCAAAACCACAATTTTTAGCCTGTATTAAATATATTATTTTATCGTCTCCTCACATACAAACGTATCGTGTGTATAATCCTCAATGTCCTGCAGTACGGGACAGACATCCCATGAGCAGTCGATTCTGGATGGAAGGTTTTGTTTTGTTTGTCACTCTACAGCAGGGTTCTCCAAACTTTTTCGGTCGCGGGCCAAAAATTGAAAAAAAAAAGTTTGACGGGCCAAGAAAAATTTTGCTAAAATTTTAAAAACAATATACAAGTATTACAATTTAAATATGTTAATGAGCAGAATGAAATCGAGATTTAATTTTTAAAAGTTCCTTATAGTGAGGTCCGAAGTGAGAACCTCACTATAAGGAATCACAAATGCTCATCTGTCAGTCTACTTCTGACATAAATCTTTCCAAGATTCATAGTTGAAAACATTTGTTCACGTATATCAGATGAAGCAAACACAGCACTGATTTTCTGGCCGTGAGATATTGAATTTGGGAAACCTTCTTTCGATATTGATTTGTAAAACTCTTAACTTTGGCATATTTAGAAACCACTGCTTGAGATGATTGTTAGAATGTAACTCAATTCATTCAACTTGCAAATCCTTTCCGATTGAATGCTTGCTATTTCCGTCAATTTAGATTTTGTAGAACAAAAATAGAGAAAGTAAAAAGGTCATCAGTCCTTTGAAAAAAGGAAGAAAAAAAATAATATTTAATCAAAGTAGAAAAGGAGATGGATAATGTATAAGTTTATATTTCTTTTAATTTACCTCGGAGTGGAAAATTAAAATTCTATCCGCGGGCCGGATAGAATCTTCCGGCGGGCCCACGGGCCGGATTTGGCCCACGGGCCGTAGTTTGGAGACCCCTGCTCTACAGTTATCTTTTGCACACATTGGGCTAATTAGATCGGACCTACAGTTTAACATGGATTACGAACCACTACAAACATGTATCAGGATTAACCGTCAAGATTCGAACCTGAAGTCTGTTGTACCAAAAGCCATCATGGATGGAAGAAAAGGGGCAGCTTCTGTTGTAATAGATCACCTCTAAGTAGAAGTTTGTCTTGGTTCAGTGTTACTGAAGGAGGAGGGCAGTGCCTTGCGGGAGGACTTTTAAGGGGGAACTATCCGCATTAGAGTATCATATGGGAGAAAACCCGGAAAACTCATACCAGGTAGTCCGACTCATGAGGCAAGATGCTGAACATCTCAAACGCCATCGTGTCTCCTCGTTTTTTTGAAACAGTGTCTGCAACAAAGCCACCAGCGGATTGAACCTCCCCCTTAATGCTCACCAGCGGCGCCCGTTGCCACTGAGGCACGAGTCGAGCACATACAACTGTAGAATCAATTATTGAAAATAATCATAATAAATAATAATACAATTTGTAATAAATAAAGGGAAACATTTTAACTATTCAATGATTTTATATATATTTTCCTTATTCTTTTATAATTAAATAGAAAAATAATAATGCTTCAAGCAACTAATTTCGTAACATCAAAAGTCGCAGACAATCTCACCAAAAATCATCCAAAAATGTTATCAAGTGTAAAATTAAATAAAAAAATTCTCTTTCACTGTTGTTTCGAATCTTTACTATAATTAAATATTCAGAAATCCAAGAAATCAGATTTAAGTTTTCATTTCTTAAAATGTAAATGCAAATGTTAACTCGATTCATAAAAATTCAGTACATTTTCTTTTATGCCAGTCTCATCTTATTTAAATGAACAGTGACTAGAATTATAGACTTAAAAGGAATTTTGAGAAAGATGTCTTAAATGATTAAATTAACATCTAATTTTACCCAAAATAGAAAAAAATTATGACGGATAAAAATTTTTTTTAAACAAATTTAGTGAGGTATTTCATTTCGCTGGCATTTTGTATTGTTGATAAAGAATGCACATTTTAATCTTAAAATAAAGAAGTTTCTACCAGTTTTCTAAAACTTCAAGCAGTCTATTTATTTTTCTATTTTGCAGTTCGTTTATTTATTTTATTTAATTTAATTTAGTTTTCTTTTAGCAGTTTTAGAAAACTGTACATTACAGTACTGAAGCATCTTTATTTTGACACATTAAACATTTTGGCACACACACTTTTTTTGATAAGTAACTATTTATTGTATTGTAAAATATAAGAACAGTAAAGAAGTGTTCAAAAAATTTACATTAAATGCTGCATTATGAAAAGGCGAAGAATTTAAATATATTAAGAATCTAATTAAAAAAGAACATACTGAATAGTATGTATTATATAATATATAAAGACGATAAAATATATTGATACTATATAATAATTTAAAAAGTGCCCCTGCTGAAGTTCAAATGAAAAGTATTCAATTCAAAAAAGTATTCAAGTATTCAATTGTAAGATAAAATTAATAAAACTAAGTATTCTCTGATACTAGATATTACTAACATATTTTTATGTAGTTAAAATTAAATGAAAATTATTGTTAAGATTTAAATTTAAAATATATATTAGAATATTCTTTTTTACGTCTTTTCCTAATTTTCTTTTTATTTACACTTTCGTAATTCAGTTGTTACACTCGCCATTCACATTAACCGTAGGCTATCTTTTCTGATCCAATATCATGAAGAACAACAAATGGTTAAAATGATCGACTACTGTAAAAAAGTTATTTCTTAATTTTAGTATTTCTGTAATAGTTTTTCAATTCTTGAAGCAGTGTACTTAAGCTCCTTGAAAGGTTAGGACTTTTCTTTTTTTAACTTATAAATTGTGTTAGCTTTTCTTAGATATATTTTCCAAGCCTGATGCATGTAGTATTACTATTAGTAATAGTACTATTACTACTGTAGTATTATCTATAGCCAACGGCCGTACCATGCTGAATATACCGGTTCTCGTTAGATCACCGAAGTCAAGCATCATTGGGCGCGGTCAGTACTTGGGTGGGTGACCACCTGGGAACACCGCGTGCCGCTGGCAAATTTGGGACCTGAATGGCCGAGTGTCTGGCGCTCGGTGCCACAGATTTCGGGATCGGAATCCACTTTAAGCCGTAGGTCCCGGTCTCCTATGATTGTAAGAGCGTCACGGAGCAAAAGTCAGGCTTCTACCTACAGGTGCTCCATCACAACAGAAGCTGCTTCCTTCCCCTTCAATCACGAGTACGTATGGGCTCGTGGGCTTGGCCAGCCAAGTGGGATAAGAAACAACAACAGTATTATCTATTCGAACCTGAAGCCTGTAGTACCAACGACCAGAGTGATAGCCAATTAGCCCTCAGGCCGCCTTCTTCTGCAGCAGAACCGAGGTTTTAAGCATATTTAATTTCATTAGCTGTTCTTTTTTAATGTGTATAAACATTAATTTAAACCACTACTAATTTCTCATAAACTTTGTAAGAAATTTCAGATTTATTTAAATTGAAAATTTTCCAATATGCACTTTAAGTTTAAATCATGTATGTTATTATTCTAATTTAAAAAAATAGGGGAATGATATGGGAACAAACTATTAGAGTATTGAAAGTAGAACTCAGCAAAAAATATTTTTAGAATTTAAGAATTTAATGCTTACATATGTATATGCATATAATTTGAAATATTTTATTTAAACTGATGGAAAATTTAATAGCAATCTATAAAAAAAATTTGTTAATTTCTTTATTTTTTTTATAAATATGATATTTGTCCAATGTCTGTTATATATTATACACAAAAAAGTGACATAAATCTGAAGTCAAGAAACATAAGCAAACCTAAATCATAAATTTTTGAAATATTGGTAGTATTTTAGCTGTATATATCACAAAATCATACGGAGGAAATTTACTTTGGAAGCTATAAATTATATATATATATTGATACAACATTCAATAGGCAGTATGTTGTAAATTTAAAGTAATATTTCAAATAATATAAAATATGAATGTGAGGTACTTCAGGGCTTTTCTATTGCAAATTCTATGAGGGTTATGTTATACAATTTACTTGTAGTGAATATAATCGCCGAATATATGATTCGCCGAAATCAGTTTTAGCGTCTCACAAAGCCAAGCGTAACTCGAACGCTAATGAATATTTTGACGTCAAATTTCACACAGATGGCAAAGACACTGCTAGCAACCTAAAAAAAAAAAAAAAAGGTAGTAGCTTTCAACGTACAAAATGATCGTGTTTCTAATTCACACCTTGTTAGTTCTCCTTTATAGTTCTTCTTGTTAGTTAGTTTTTCTTTGAGTTTTGGGTTGCGTTTTTTATACATAAGGTGAGATTATTGCAGTAGATCGAGCGTTGTAACCCTACTTTAGTTGTGCATAATTCTCTTTTGCTTATTCTTACAACTATTTTTCAATTTTTGGCAGCTTCACGTGTATCTTATTTATGTGAAAGGACTATGTGATATTCACCAATTTTTTATAACTAAGAATAAGCAAAATGTTTTAGCGACTCTCAATTTGCATGCAATCTGTGTTGTAGACAATGCTCAGTGTTCCTCCTTTTAGTGTGTGCAAATTTTTTATTTAATGTTTTATGTAATTTATTAAAATTATTATTATTATTATTTTTTTGTGTTTTTTTTTATTTAACGTTTTGTGTGTTTGTAATTTAATGTTAATTTCATTTTTTTGTGTGCATTTTTTTACACAATGCGTTACTTTGGTATTCAGTATCAATTTATTTTAATAAAAAATTAATTAGAATTATTATTTAGTAGCAAAATCTAATAATTTCGTGCCACACTTTTTTAATATTACGGTTTTAGCCCGAAATTTCTTCGCTTTTGAGCTCAACTGAAGTATTACTTTGTTCATTGTAGGCTTCAAAACAGCAACAACAACAACAAAACACACACGCCTTGACATTCTTGATCATTATCGAAACATTTTTTTTCTACAGATTACAAAAACTACAACGAATGACGATTAATTCGTCCAAGAATTAATGCCAAGTTCTCAAAAAGAAATATAAATATTTCTTATAATATAAAGGAAGGTAAAAAAATCGTATGATTCTATACATTTCTTTGTATTTTTTTAAGGCTTTATACATTTTTTTCTACATTTCTTTATATTCATTGTCGGCTGCAAAACAACAACAACAACAACAACAAAACACACACGCACATACACCATACCATATCTTGACATTCTTGATCATTATCGAAATGGTTTTTTTTACCGATTCTAAAAACTGCAACAAATGATGATTAATAAGCTCTCAAAAAGAAATTGAAATATTTCTTATAATAAGAAGGAAATTAAAAAAAGGTATCATTCTATATATTTCTTTATATTTGTTCATTCACACCTAAAAAATTTTTTTCACTTCAACGCAAGAGATTAGTCTGTCTACAAGATTTGTCTAAACAACTAAGAAGCTTAATTTTGATTTGATTGTTTCTCTGTCTTGTTAGTAGCTAGAAAGTACTAAAAATTATTTATTCGTTTATTAAAAAATATTATTACTTATTTTTTATTGCCACAAGATGGCATACGTCTTTTTTTTTTGTTTGAAAGAATTACGAATGGGGCCCGACTCGTGGTTCAGTGGCAACGTGCGCCACTCTTGAATATTAGCGTGGAGGTTCATTCCGCTGGTGGCTTTGTTGTACACAGAGTTTCACAAAACGAAAAGACTCGATAGCATTTCGGGTGATCAGCCTCTTGCCTCGTTTGCCAAAATACCTGGTCGGAGTTTTCCGAGTTTTCTTCCGTACAATACGCAAATGCTGGATAGTTCACCCTAAAAGTCTTCGCAGAAGGCACTACTCTCCTCTTGAGTGACACGGAGCCAAGTCAGACTTCTACCTACGGGTGCTCCGTCACAACAGAAGCTTCCCCCTTTCCCGTGATCCGTGAGCAGACTAATCGGATGTCCTTCCCGCACTGCGGAACACTGAGGAATAAACACATGAATGGGAAATGACTTTAAAGGCTTTTATTTCGAACCTTGTGCAATTTTAATACGTAATTTCAGATGCAGATACATTTACTGCATCAGAAATTATTAATTATTATTAGCATTATTTTTATTATATTAATAAAAATAATTCTCTACATTCCATAATAATTAATAATAATAATAATTAATAATTAATATTAATATAATAAAATATTATTACTATATTTATTATTAATTATTACTTTTATTATTAATAATTATAATTACTTCGCATTCTCAAGAGAAAAATTGTAGGAATACAAGATTTAGATATCCTTCTGCTGGATTTCATACAGAAATTTACTAGCAGTTATTAATATCATGATGTTTACCGACTTATTTAATTAAAGAGTTAACAATTAAAATTTAAAATTTTTTTTTCTTGTTTATGGAAATAAATTTTTTTTATTTTCTGTAACAGAGAAATAGCGAGCATAATAAAAAAAGTAGGATATTTAATTTTTCCATTGAATTAATTATTATCTTAACTGGAATGTAGCGAAAAATCAAGTAATTCTTTTTATTAATTGTGTCTTAATTAAATAAAAACTTTAATTTTTGACAGTAAAATTTCACTCCTGAAAAATGTTTTTAATAATTGTCTGCTTTCATCAGCATATTCTTAAAATTTGCAACAAGTGGATAAATAAAATTAGAGGATATATAACATTATTGAGACACATTTATTGAGAAGACATAACTTAAAAAATATATAATACCAAATAAATGTATAATGTTTTTTTTTTTAACTAACTTTATTTTTAGCAAATTACAAAAAATAAATAACAAAATTACGCTAATTATTATTTTTTTTTTTGCTAAAAAAGATACAGTCACTTTAAAAATTATGAATAATAAAAAATTACTTTTTAAATAACTCAACAGCTCAAAAATCGTCTGCTTTCATTATTAATAACTCGTAAATATTGGAATGAATCGAATTACTTATTGTTTTTTTTCTAGAAATTTTCTGGGACAAAAAGGTAAATTTTTATGATTCTTATGTTTGCATTATATGGGGCCTGAATGGCCGAGTGGCTAGCGCTCTGGCGCTCGGTACCACAGGTTTCGGGTTCGAGTCCCGGTAGTGGTTCGGAATCCACTTGAAATTGTAGGTCCCGGTCTAATAGGATCGTAGGGCGGTGCGGGAGCATTGCTACTCCGCGCCCGTGGCTTATCTTCAAGTGACACGCGCCCCCTGGGTAATGCAAAGTGAGTAACGTCTGTGCAGCGCTTGCCTTAGGGCATCCAAGACCAAGCTGTCTAAGTGTTTGCCAGCTGCGTTAGAAAAAAAAAAGTTTGTATTATTCTTTCCATTTGTTTTAGTTTGAATAGTCGAATATTGAGTTTTTATAGGGTTTAACTATTTTATTATATTTTAAATTCGTTTAATTTATACATTTATATGTGTTTTTACTTTCCCAACACGGAATTAATTATATTTATTTACATTTATCGTAGCCACTCTTTTGATAAGACTGTGGTCAATTTGAAATAAATAGACACTAATTTCTACTACACTAATATTAAACTAATTTCTGAATTTAAACATTTCAAATTATTTTACATAAAATTATTTAGATTTATAAACATATTTTATTTTATTATAGATTAATTTTATTTGGTTTTTTTTTTTTTGATAAATTTAGATTTTATATTACAAAAAAATTTATTAAAGCTTATGGCAAAATCGCAGAATAGGGGTTGTTAGGATTTGGCATCAAAAATTTTTTGTTGCCAAAGTGTGCCAAGAAAAGGATTGAGATTGTAAGTGAAGAGAATTGCAAACAGTAGAAAAAATCCAGCTTATCGCTCAGTTGGCGTCACAAAAAGGCCGCCAAATTCAAACAACCCCAATTTTGAGATTTGGCCACTTTTATTATTTATAATAATAATTTTTTACATCATAAATTACCATAAATAAATTTACATAAAAAATGAATGACACATAGACTAGTTTCATGCGCTAAATTTGTATTATACTTCTGGGCTTTCTGATGAATGGAAGGAGATTTCATTTGCATTTTTGGCCATTGC